AGAGATTCGAGTCTCTCGTTCAGAGACTGGATACGAAATGAGGATCTCTCTATGAGCGACTCGAGTCTCTCGTTCAGAGACGCTAAACAGCTTTTTTGACAGTCTCTCTCAGCGACACCAGAGAGACTCGAGTCTCGCTTTCAGAGACTCTGAGAGACTGAAAATTTTTATCTCGGGTTTCTATTATTATAAATATATATATTTTCAATTTCCCCGAACATTGGCATTATCATATTCATTGCATTCCAATAGTACTATGCTATTTGGTTGGTAGGATGTACCAAAAATTACAACCTTAGGTTTATAATTGAAAATTAATGAATACGTACTATTTTACAGTAATTTTTATTAATTTATATTTAAAGTAATTTTCCACGTTTTATAAAACGTGTTTCCTCAACACGTGTTATACGTGTCTGTACAAATTATAACACGCTTCCAAAGTTCCTATTTTATACCAAACACGTGTTAACAAAACACATTTACTGCGTGTTACATAATCACACTTTAGCGTGTTTTAAAATGTCACACCTTGAAGTGCGTTTAAAATGACTACATCGAAAAAACGCGTAAATGTGTGACAATGTAACACACTTAGCATTTGCAGTGTACTTACATACATTTTTGATCTTATCTACAATAATCACATTTAAAATCCTATTATGTGATTAATACGCAAATGTAATAGATTTCTTCCTTTGAATACTTATCATTAACCTTACATTTTACTACAAATAATACACTCTAATTAAGGTGATGGTGAATGTACACCATGATAAAAGAAGATAGCTATTCGCAAAACTAATGGATACATTTTGTACTAACGTAAATGTAACATTTGGTACAAAAATTAGATAATAAGTATTTACCTTGACAAATGCTTCTCTGGGGAGTGGTGTTACAACCCCAATTATATGGAGAATTAACAAGAAAACTCGATACACCAGGTATATCAGTGAATTCGTTTCCGCCAGTTCCTCCTTCAAGTAGTAATATAGACCATTCTTTCACCTCTGAAAGTCTGTTAGACAACAAGGAACCTGCGGTTCCACCTCCCACGATTATGAAATCAAACTTTCCAAAATCTGTACATACCAAAATCAGAAAATTAATATACAGAACAGGAACAGGCTAACTAAAGACTAAAAAAAAACGAATCGAAATATGTGAAGGAATTAGAAGATTGTCAAAACGTATAAAATGATAAGAAATAAAAGGGGAATTACAGTGAAGTCTCGAATGATTATTATTATTATATTTACACGTAGATTTCAAGTATGGTCTAATAATGTGATAATTCTTACCTATGGGTTTTTGATGTTCATCGGTCAGATTAAAGCCTTCGTAGAAGTTTGGCAAAACGTAGTTTTCAAGTTTCAGAATATTTTCTGTTATTAGCTTCATATAATGATTAACATCTTCATTAACTTGACCTTTGCACACATTTACGAGAAGAATAATAAAAGAAGATTGCACCACATGCATTTCGGAGATTCGACTTTTTGTTTTGCCGGGCAAATAGGTACTTATCAACTCATGAGTTTAAGGTTTAAGGTGCCGTCGTGAGATCCGTTTTTAATACACTCCAGGTCAACGATCCCAACGTAAGAAACGAGATAATAATTGCTATTTATCTGTACTGTTAATTTTCGTCTTTTCTCAACAAATTGTTTGTTGTTTGTATCTGCTGTGCAATGACGTTGCTCTCATAAATACTGACATGACTAGAAGATTAGTTCAGCTATTAGAGAATTTATAATCTAGACTTTTAATACTGTACATTATTAAAGACGTCGTGTATTTTAAAATAAACAGATTGAAAAATTCACAATAAAATTAATAAATCTTCTCCAAGGCAATTTTAAGCAGACGCTAAATTATTTTTTTATACTCCATCACAGTGTCTAAAATGCATTAGAAAATAGTACTAAATCCGCATAAACTTCAAAACGTGTCATAACACAGATAATAATTAATCAATTAAAGTAAAAGATGAAATAATTCAATAATACTAACAAGTATCGGGACGTTACTAAAACATTGT